GTTAAGCCGGCTGAAATTTGTAAACTTATGAAATACTAGCTGTATAGCCCGTCTTCGATCATGTGTTTCATTACTGGGAATTTTTGCGTTCAATTGGAGCAGTTTAAGTTTAAAGTCAGCCCACCTAAAAATCAATATTAATAAAACAATATGTTGCAACTGCGGCACATCCCCAAATGGTTGGTTAATGCTTGAAAAGGGCCGTTTATGCGTTCACAATGTTGCAAAAAAGGAAGCTCTTCTATGGCCGTCATAATAATAATAATATACGATAATTTTTATTTATAATATTTCTTTTTATAGATTTTATTAGATTTCAACTAAATTGATTGTACACTGTTTTTTAACAGACATTAAATTTTGCCTTTTTTTGTGCAAAGTGTAAAAAATCAGTTTTTTTTCGATTTTTCACCTACAAAGTTGTAATTTTTTCCAGCCAATTTGGACTTAAATCCGGAACTGAAGAAAATTTCATTGAAATCGGATGAAAACTGTGGAAACGCAGAAACAACATCCGATCACACACACACACACACGCGCGCGCGCGCGCACAAACACACACACACATATATATACTTACACACACACATTTTGAGAATTATAGATATAAGAAGAGTATATATTTAATAAACTGGACTAATAAAAACGTTCTGTGGAGGAAATTGTTAGAAAATTAATAAAAGTGCATCCCAAATAAGCACCGGACAAGAGGAAAAAATTTGAAGGAAATAATTTCATTATGTCGCCATTTGTATTTTGTAAACAACAATTACGATGAGAGGCAACTGGAACCAAAAAGAAAGAAATATTTTTTAAAATTTAATAATGATTGATCGACGTGTAAAATCTAAAGCGTACTTCTTTATAAAATATTTTGAATGCTTAATAACTATTCATACAGTCACTCCTGGATAATCCTACATCATCTCTTTGTGATATACCATTGCTAGTGTAGAGATACAAAAGGTATTATCTCCCTTTTGTCGAGATGAAGTCACGTTTGTCCCGTAACCATCGCTTATTGACGTCATTTCATAGAATGATAAAATTGGTCAATCCATCAGTTAACTGCCTGGGGTCAAGGAGCAGCCAGCTTCCACATAGTACAGCTTATAAGCCCACGATGCCGTTTTCCTTTGAGTATATATCTTCACCAGATGTAGAAAATATCTCTGGCACGCAATCATCATGTTGGGGGAAAACCCATAGCTCACCGTTTCCCATTTGTGAGCAATATGTCCTCACTAGTAATAAAGCATATAAACCCGTCTTAAATATAGAATACTAAATATGGTTTCCCTAGAAACACAGAAGAATATCCGGCACTCCAATTCCCTTTCGGATTATTACTAGTAAGACTCGCTTGTCATCGCCTTTCCACACTGCTTGTTGTAGCATATATGGAGTATGGTTTCTCTGCATGGGACACGTGTTAATATTCGTATATAATTTTGTGCATGACATAGTGGTATAAACCTCTCTCTGTCATTCTTTTTCTTCCAGTTAATCCGTTCTGTCCGTGAAATATCGAGGATATAATATATTTTCATAAAAATGCCCTTAACTTTCCTTAAGAATTATATACTTTTCCTGAAAGAAAAAAACATAGAATCATATCTACTCAATTCGTTAGTAATACTTTCATTAATTCCTGACTACAGACAATACCTATACTCTCATTTTTAATGCGGAAGATATGCAGTAAAGCCTGAAATTTGCAAAGATTTTGTATCTAATTATCATTTTTGATGCCGCCAGAAATATACAGGGCGTGGCAGAAATAGCCCTACATATACCTCCCAGAAATCCCTCCCATATAATGGTAAGATATTAGCTGAATAAAGACACCATAGACAGTAATGTTTTACCATTATGTGGGCGTTATTTCTGGTAGGTGTATGTGGGAAGTATTTTTACCGTACCCTTTATATTTCATGGTGTAGAAATAAGAAACAGATATTGGAAATGTAATGGAGTAGTGTTAATGCCAGTTGGAAAGTAGCTGAGTAGTGATAATGTATGTGGCAAGAAATAAAAGAATCTGTAAACTTTACCAAACGGGTTCAAATAGAGTCGGTACTAAAAAATACAACCGTGATATATATATATATATATATATATATATATATATATATATATATATATATATATATATATATTCATTTTTTCCTTCTTGTCAGAAGTTACTGTCTAAATATATAATCATTTGGTGCGTTGGCTTTATTAATACCGGATCGCAAAACCAGCCAAAAGATAAATAGACGATTACGGGGTTATGCTGAAAAGTTCCCGGCCTGAACGAAAAAAATCTCCAGATTTTATTTGACCATTTGGTCAGATATTGGACAGCAAGTCAGACCTAGAATTGTTCAGCGGGTCCCCGATATATATTATATATAACAATTTTGGTAAAAGAAATACTTTGACATACAAAGGAACCTCGGCTCCCGAACGTCTCACATATCGAAGAAATCGGTTTTCGAACAGAAAATTCGAGATGAAAATGCCTCGGTTTTCGAACAAAATTTCGGTTCTCGAACATAGCCGAACTGAGCTAGCATGTACAGAATAATTTCTGAGTCGACCGCCATGTTGTATACATTCGTGTGTTGTGCCGTGTTTTTCTCTTCCAATTTTATTGTACTGTGACTCTTTTTTCTCTACATTGATTTCTATTTCGGTTTACAAACATTTCAAGATTACGAACGGCCTTCAGAAACGAATTAAAATCGTAAACCAAGGATCCACTATATTTTGCTAATGATCCGGCGTCATCAGTAAAAAGGATTTCAAGATTAGAAAATCTAAGTTAACGAGAACTTATTGTTTTATATATTTACCACTGCGTCCGATTCTTGTGGACAGAACCAAAACAAACATGTTGAAATGCCGCTCGTTTCTGAAGTGTATGTGTTTAATCAATTTTGGATTTCGATATCAATTGTTCGTTTTTATCTTTTCAGGAATCTCAACATTTTCAACTTGTTGATTCAAATATCTGCCAAACATTCTGTTTCTCCAAAAAGATAGGAACAGAGAAAATCCAATTGCAAAAAGAAAAAAAAAATTCTTTATCTTTTTCCTAAAGTTAAAATCAAGTTAAGATGTTCTTTCTCTTATTTTCGATTTTCCCAATATCAGTTTTTGCTCCACTTCTTTCCATAAATCTACCTTCGTCATTTGCATTTACTTTTCAATATCCTCTTTTTGGCAACTACGTCTCTATATTTCAATTTATTTTCCTCCCCACTCACCCATCTCTCTCTCTCTCTCTCTCTCTCTCTCTCTCTCTCTCTCTCACACACACACACACACACACACACACACACTATCTCTTTCCCCGGGTTCGAATCACAACTAGTTAATTTGTTAAGAAGGTCACTTCTTGATTTTATCAGCCTGGGAAGGAGAAGGGGTGATCCCTACTGTCGGTACTTTTGGAAACGCCCAGAAAAGCATACCCAGAGGTCGACCCAAGCCTTGTGATTGAATCTGGGTAGGAGGAATTGTTCATCGATGGCTGTGCTCGCACAAAGTCACAAGTCATCGTGACCGAGTGTTTAAGCGTACTGGCTTTGTTCAAACTGTTGATCACGCCAGATGATGCGCTCTCTCCCAAAAACTCTGACTCAGGTTCACTCAGCATAGTTTGCAGTATAAACCACGGGTGGGTGCTGCGTGTCTCTCAATATACTAATTGACCCCTACCGCCCCAAAATAGCAGCACATATGAAACGGATATTTTAAGATTCTAATTTTACTAGATTTTTACATTTCAGTCCCTAAATATATTTTTCCCATTATTATGGCTAAAACGTCCTGTTTTTCACCTCGAGGCTTCATATACTTCTTAGAAGAGCGCATCAGTCGTAACTCAGACGGGTGTTGTGACAGTAAGGTAGATAACTCTAGTCAGCAAAGACTGACATACAAATCCAAGTGGAGTATTATATCAAGACAATTTTCTTTATAGACAGCATTTGCTATATTTATAGTGGAAGAGTACTCAGTATCGGAGATAGAGTGTTCATAGATTATACACAGAGTGGATATATGTATCAACACTGCATGGTGACTGTCAGTTTCACGCTTTAATACAATTTTCAAACTCTGTCTAGGCTGAAAATACTATTGAACTATAGATCTCAACGTAATTCCCCCTCTCTTTTCGTATCAACCTCTGTCTTCCTTCACTCATTTTAATCTCTCTTTTTGTTTCTTTTTTTCTTCTTTTTTTAAATCAATTCACTTCAAGCAAGGCGATAACGCCACGGGCTACTGAAAGTGGAAAAGAATAAAAATGACTTTAGAAAGAAACGGAAACCCAGTCCTAAACAGGAAACAAACGATAGACCTCCTTGCACAATTATTCACATTTTTTGTAAATGCCATGTCTCTGCAGAAAGTCGATGATTATGGCTCTCCTTTTCTTTATTATAAACTGCCATGCCTCCTTAGAATTTTGAATATTCCTTCTCTTGGATTAGTTGCTACCCACGACTGGAGAAATCCTGTCTACTCTGCTCTTTCATCTTTAGGTCAAAAGAGAAGAGATGGCTTCATTTTTCCCTTGGGCAAATAGTTCGAAAGTCAATGCAACAGACAGAGCCTGAATTTGAACTCGGCGACGCAATTTCATTTTTTACGTTGATAACCATTACCCTATCTATACATTAAACAAGTTTCTTTTTCTCATTCTTACTACGCTTCCCCCCTTCTTTATTTTTTTATTTATTTATTTATTTTTTTTTTTTTTTTTTTTTTCTTTTTAACCTGATTTGTTTCTTGGCTAACTCAGTGGGAGAATTCAAGAAGTGAGTTCTCATTGTCAGCCATTAAAGACAACTTCTTCCTTTCAGTTTCTTAAATGATATTGAAGTTATTGCCCGCTTCTTTTTTTTTTTTTTTCATCATTGACTAAAAGGTCGTTTTATATATTCCTGATTTATTTTTCTCGTTTTCTTTTTGCTTCATTAATTTATCTGGGTCCTTTCTTTACTATGGCTTCTTCTTTTTCTTCTTCTTCTTCTTCTTCTTCTTACTCCTTCCTTCCTGCCTTCCTTCCTTCTCCTTCTTCTTCTTCTTCTTACTTCCTTCCTTCTCCTCCTTCTCCTCCTCTTCTTCTTCTTGTTCTTGCACGTAATGTTTTTCTCTCCACATGTTCTTTTTTCTCTCGTTTCTCATTGCAGTGTGAGTAGATAGGTTTGCCTCGACCGGTTCACACTCCTCCTCGACCTTTTGAAAAGGAAATGTTTATATTTATTTCCTGTTTCGGATTGTGTTTCCGGTTCCTTCTTAAGTCTTTTCGTTTTCTGTCACTCTTGATAGCCACTTAATTCTTTGTAGCAATATCGCCTAGCTTGGTGTGAATTGATTAAAAAAAAAGTCCTCCTCCTCTTCTCTCCCTTCTCTCTTCTTCCTCCTCTCCTCCTCCTACTCCTCTCCACTTGTTATCTCTCCCTTTTTCCTTTTCTCCCTCTTTTCCACTTACTCCTTCTCTCTCATCCACGTCTTCCCTATGTTCTCTCTCCCTACACCAATAAATTGATGATAGCACATTTTCCTCCTCTTCTTTCTCGTAATGTTTTCCCCTCCAAGTGTTCTTTTTCTCTTTCCTCTCATTACTCCTCCTACTCACTTCTTCCTCCTCTCCCCTTTCCCCCTCCTACTCACTCTCTTTTCTCCTCCTCCTCTCCCTCTTTTCCTTCTCTTGTCTTATTCTTCTCCTCCTCCCTATTTCCCCCCCATCTCTTCCTACACCAATAAATTGATGACATCACAGCTTTCTCTTCTTCTTCTTTTTTATCTCTTTTTCATCACTATGCTTTTCTTTTGTCCTATATGTCTTCTTACTAATTTTTTATTATTAACTTTTCTATTCTAACCCACTTCATTCTCACCTTAGCGCCTATCTCTCTCGCACAGCTCATGCCAAGTCTTCTTTCAGCTTATCACATCGGTGCAACTTTTTTTTTTTCTTTTTCCATGAAATTACTTCTTCTTTCTCGAAGGACTTTGGCATTTTCAAAAATATGAGCGAATCAGCACGTCAGATCCTCATCACACTGATAAGGTTTCTCTGCAAAGCCCGGAGAGGGAAAGTGTATATTGCAATTCGTACTCGACTAGTTCTGTCTGTTTTCATAGATGTAAATGAATGTGTCTGGCTATGTTAAAAGCTTTTTTTCTTCAAGTAACGTTGTACAAAAACACTGTGAAATGAATACATGTATACATCAGTCTCTTAATTTGAGTTTACGCATAAACGACAAGTATTTGCAGCATTTAACCGTAATGGGGTCTACACGCGACTCGTATTTTGCACGATGTTTTCGTTGTCTTTTTCTGTATAAACAATATCAGAATGAATAGGTAGCCGATGTCACCACAATCCTGATAGCGTTTATTACCTTTTTCCTTTGTTCCTTTTTGTTCCCTCCTTTTCTTCTTCTTCACCTTCAATAGAAAGAAAAACATGCTTTATCAGAAATAGTTTCTATGTGAGATATAGACAAATATGCTAATAACTTTCGAAAAGTTCAAATTGTTAGATATAACCGTAAGTTCTATGCTAACAGTTTCTTCTCTCGCACTTCTACCACTTCTAATTCACTTCCGGCCACTTGTTATTCAATAAAGTTTGATTTTCAAAAATTTAAATGCAATGTCAATTGTTATATTCTGTTTTCTTAATTCCTATTCTTCTATTGTTCTCTCTCCTTAATAATGTATTTTTCTCCTCATATACTTTCACTCATTAACCCGCTTGCGTCTTAGTGGCATTATTGCCTTACTTAGGGTCAAATGATGAAAATAAATTTGACACTCAGAGGACATATGAACTTGAAAAATGCTATATGAGCTCGTGAAAATGAAAGACAAACAAAACAAAGGAAATTGTGGAGAGCTATGATCAGCACGTCCTGAAGAGACACGGCACAGACAATAATAAGACTTCTAATGAATAACCATAGTTAAAGATTAAAGAAATATTAAGAAATTGAAAATTAAATGTATGCTTAATTTGTGTCACTGTGCTATACAATAGTTCGATGTATTGTAATGTGGTCGACCACAGTATTTCATATCTAGCATATTGCTGTATGCGGTCGACCTCAGTATGTCAGGTCTAGCATATTGCTGCATGAGGTCAACCTCAGTATGTCAGGTCTAGCATATTGCTGCATGAGGTCAACCTCAGTATTTCAGGTCTAGCATATTGCTGTATGCGGTCGACCTCAGTATTTCAGGTCTAGGATATCGTTGCATGTGGTCGACGTCAGTATTCCAGGTTAAGCATATTGCTGTATGTGTTCGACCTCAATATTTCAGGTCAAGCACATTGTTGTAAATTATCAACTTCCGTATTTCAAGTCTAGCATATTGCTAGACCTCAGTAATTCAGGATTAGCATATTGCTGTTTGGGGTCGACTTCAGTCATTCAAAAATCTAGCATATTGATGTATGTGGTCAACCTCGGAATTTGAGTATTTATATCACGCGATTTGCTGGTCTATTCGAAGCTGCTATAAAAATTAAGTACATGCTTATGTATACAAGCGAAAAATATGTATGAATTTATATATCCACACACACGCGCGCACACACACACACACACACACACACACAAACATACACACACAAACACATATATATATATATTTATATATAGCAGGAACATATAGAATTCCATATATATATATATATATATATATATATATATGACAGATTGGAAAATGTCAAAATGATATCAACACACAGGCAAACTCATCAGCGTGTACATACACGCATATATAATATATATATATATATATATATATATATGTATGTATGTGTGTCTTTCTGTATGTGTGTATGTGTGCAGATGTTTAGACAAAAAAGCCATACACAGGAAAGTGACGTTATTTTCGAATGTGATAAGACATAAGAAAGAGAATAAGTAACGACTTCCGCGTTTTCTTTCCTCCTTGATAAGAAAAGGCTAGGAAAATCCAATGTTGGCAGTGAAGATTATATCAGCACTAATTATTAAAGCGCGAGCCACAAGAGACTGATGAACTAGCAATGATTGATTTCTGTGTTAAAATCAGCCTGAACCTCGACTACCAGCACACACAGTTTTTTTTTTTTTTGTTTTTTGTTTTTTTGTTTTGTTTTTTTTTTTTTGGGGGGGTACTCATAGAGAATTAAAGTAACTCGGAAAAACATAGTTGATGATTACAGAAATCTTCCTATTCTGTTTAGATACTCCCAAAAATAGAGATGCAACCCTATTCTGTTTGTTAGTAATATTTGTATTCATTTTGGACAATCTACATTTTACATTGTTCGTACTGTTTTCCACAACTTTATCGCCATATTCACGACGTTTCGACCGTTATACGTTCCGGTCTTCTTCAGGCTACTGGAATTTCGAACTGAACCCTTTATTTCGTTTGGATTGGGTAGAGTGTTCTAGTTCCACGTGCCATGCCTCTTCTGGGTGTCTCGGTTATCTCCCTTTAACTCTCCAAGTTTTTTTTTTTTTTTGCCGTAGCCAGTTATTGAAGTCACAGCTCTTTGGGGTCAAGTCACTGGATCCGATCAGCGTTTTTATCCACTGGATAAAGGTTTCACTTCGAAATTCCAATCGCCCGAGGGTACAGCGACCGAAACGTCGTGAATATAGCAATAAAGATCAATCCGAACAATGTAAATAATTCCAATAACCCATCTCATAAATATAGACAGAAATCTATTTCTTTTTTTTCAATATACACAATTCCAACTGAGTATCGAACCTGTTTCAAACTTCCAAAATTCAATGATTAATCGTCAAATATATATTTTAACCGCTCATTTGTGGCGAATCTTTCTTCAATAGATGAAAATCTACCCTGCATGGGCGATTTTAAGCTTTTCTTATGGATTTTCAGCTGTGTTCTCTTGCCATGGATTTGCGCTTCTTATTGATTAAATTCTACTCTAACTGAAACTCTTAACATTTTGGGGGCTCTCATTTCTGTCTATATTTCTGAAATGAGGTATTATGTAACCTATTTACATTATTCGGACTATTGGCCTCATCTTTGTCGCCATATTTATTACAACGTTTCGGTCGTTGTACGCTCCGGACTTCTTCAGGTGGTTGGAATGTCGAACTGAACCCTTTATTTCGCTCACTGGGGTAGACTGTTCTAGTTCCACGTGCCATGTTTAATCCAGTGAGGGGACCCAAAGAGTGTGAGTTCAATACCCGGTCAAGGCAATGGAGAACTTGGAGAGGGGAATTAGCAGGAGATAACTGACAACTGGCATCCATTAAACATTGCACGTGGAACTAGAAGAGTCTACTCCAGTGAGCGAAATAAAGGGTTCAGTTCGACATTCCAACCACCTGAAGAAGGCCGGGGTGTACAACGGCGTAAATGTTGTAATAAATATGGCGACAAAGATGAGGACAATAGTCCGAATAATGTAAATAGCGCTCTCATTTCATTTAAATATTTTTAAAGTAATTATACTTACAAACATGAGCACAACACGATTTTAAGCCTTGATTTTCCGTTAAACAAAAAAATAAAATTCATAAAATAAAAAACAGGTCATAACTTTGTTTTCTAGCGAAAGTCCTCTTACCAAGAGCTTTATTTATACGGATAAACAAAAGGCTAAGTATTGGATTTACCTAACCTGACAGACACAAAGTAAGGGCCCATTTTAAGATTATGAAATCACTCTAAATCGAACCTCACGCTTTAACTTAAAAATACTAGTAATTAAAATAAATAAATCCCAAGTTGTGAAAATGAATTCCTGGGATGCCTGCAAAATTTCGCTTAGGTAATGAGTCAGGCAAACATCTGTAGACAAACACATGCAGTCTAGGTGAATTATTCGCTGCCGAGCAGTAGAGGACATTCAAAGTGTTCCTGTTATACTTTCGACGGAAAATTAGTGAAGACAATATAAAGCAGTTGATTAAAGTCAAGTTTTGTGTGAAGATTGATAATAAGACTAACGAAAGAGTAGCCCTATTAAAATGGCTTATGGCTGGTATGCTATGAAGGATTCCAGTGATTTTGAGTATTACAGGCGGTTCAAGACAAGGTGCCCGATGATGCAAGAAGTAGGCAGTCAAAAGCTCAACGAACAGATGCAAATATGAAACCAGTGAAAACCTGAGTGCGCTCTTTTGGAATATGAAATGAGCAACTGAGCATGAATTTGGAAACAGCGCGGCAGGTTCGAACAGAGGATTTGGGTATGAGAAAAACTGATTTCGTTCTCCTGACTTCCATTACAAAAATAGTTCAGCATCTTATTCACTCGACTTAGACACCAGTGATTCTTGGCTATTTCCAAAATTGAGAATTGTCCGAGCAGGATCTGCTGACACCCCTGACATCCAGTGACACGTAACTACACTAGAGAAAGGTATTACGAAAAACGAGTTCCAAGAATGTTTCCAACAATGCCAACACCGTCTCCAAAGGGTTAACTTTGGAAGAGACAGTATCTAACAAAAAAGACATATGGCGAATTATAGTTAGATTAATCATATTGTAAATGATCTTCATTTACTTGCACCAAGACCAACACACATCAAGAGTGGGCTTTTATAAATTCTTGTGTGAGGGGGGCAGAAAGCAGTATTTCTACATCGAAGTTACTATTTTGCATAATTATTCTAGTATAACATCTATTATTTGATAATCGTCTTTTTTATTAACGATACTGATTATAGCTTTTCACATATTATATGCAGTAAGAAAATTCCTGCATCTGCTTATTAGATATACTTTAATTTTTGCTGTGCCACAATATATGTAATCATTAGACTGAATAGTAATAAATTAAATAAACTGTATGGGCGCTTTCAAACTGATTATGATGTTCAAAGTGCTTTTCTTACCTTAATGTTTTTAAGGATGATTTTGGAATTGAATTAGCAAATAAAATTACGAATAGTATTAGGAATAAATTGTCGGTGCAACAAAAGTTTATCGAAGATATCATTCAACTTTAAAGAAACGGACACATAGATGTACTCACGGGAACTCATGCGCAAAAGAGAACAAACAAGCATCTGTTTAGCGATATCAGTATTCCCAAGAATGTCTCTGTGAAAAAAAAACAGTAAAGAGAACGACTCTTCGGCTTGAAGTTTACATAAGTTCGGTTATAAAAGGACCATTATAAGGCAGAATAATGAAGAATCGGCTATGGCAGCCATCAGCAGTAATCGGACCAATATGAAATCAAAACACCGAAAACGATCAAATTTAGCAAGAACTAGGCAAAAATTTAAACCAAAAGAAATTCATATGTCATGGCAGGGATCTGGGCATCTCGAGGCGGTGTAATGGTTAGCAAGTTTGTCTAGCTAGAACAATTACGACTGAATAGTGAGTTCGATCCTCACTGGGTACCCCTTAATTTCGGCCTTGTGCCACATCTAAGCTACGCTTGGAAAATCACTATCATGGTAGGGATCCGCAGAGTACATTTGAAGTTCTTATTAAAAGCAGAAGGTAATTGGATTTTTTTAAAAATTAAGACAATCATAGAATAATAAATATTGTCTGTAGACAGAAATTAAATGAAGCATAATGCAAATCAATCTATAAAGAAAAAAATAAACACAACTGGGTAAGAACGGTGACCCATTGGGATTTGTGCCAATGACTTGGATTTGAAAATTCAGGCTAATGATACAAGCAAAACCTAGAAGATATAATTCGGAATAAAAAAGGAAAATAAATTAGTAACAATATCATGAACAACATTGTTGCTAAACTACCGATGCTTATCAAGTTTATCTTAGTTATTTTCAGCTTTAAAACAATATACACATCTACCCAGGGGAATACTTGCATAGAAGAAAGCAAATTGGCGATATCAATATTGCCAACATACTCTGTAAAAAGTGTATGTCGATTCGGCTATGAAAGGCTTTGTGCGCTATATTGGGCAAAATAATCGCGGATTGAATTTGACAACTTGCAGCAGAAGGGACAATAGAAGAAATGTAAATTCAAAAAACTCCAAAAACAGCCAAAACTGGTCAGAGAAATAACACAGAAATGTCAACAAAACGGTATTGTAGTTGCTATTCTATGGATACGCAGAGAATATCTGAAAAGAGAAACTTAATTTGTATTAATTGTGACGAAAGACAATTCTATATGAACATGCAATATTAAGGCCAAAATGGACAGAATATCTTATCAGAAAGTAAATCTAGTGCACTTAAGACAAATCTTAATGACCGTGACCATGTTTATACTGCTAAATGTATCGATCGTGCTGAATTTACTTGGCAACGTGAACACTTTTTTATGTTCTGAAATCTTTAAGGCTTGATAAATCAATTGTCATTAATAAAACTGACAAGTATGTGGGTGTGATGACATTAGACTATATGGATTACTTGAAAAAAATGATGACAATTGTGAAAGATGTTGGAGAATTTACACAGCTGGGACCAGATGTGAAATATGATAAAACAAAGACCATCGGACTAAGATATCAAAAACGTTGGCTAAGATTACAAAAGAAAAGACAAGCTTCTTTCTATATAATAAATGCCAATGACAGTATGTCACACTTTTTCAATTAAAGGGACACAACTCTTTAACTTTCAATAGCTCATGCTACAGAATTTCTTCATTCCCACGTTTTCATTACTGCCATTGTTTTTGGCGGGTTTTTTACGTAATTTTTTGTGATGAATATTTTTGTTGGATAGCAATTTTTATAACTTAGAAATAAATTCGGAAATAAATTAAATTAATTGCGAAATCCACCCATGAAATAAAAATAATTGTTTGTACGGAAAGTAAGGACCTACGCATATCAGAGTGTCTTTAAATTAAGTAGCAGCAGAAGAATTATCGTTGAACTTTTAAAAGGTAATCTTAAATATTAATGCAAAAATATACGACAACAGAGAACCAGACTGCAATCAAAAGAGCCAAGGCTGCAGCGAGGTAAAGAAATTCCTGTGCAAATGAGATCCCAGAACAAACGGCAGCCAGTAGAGCTTCCAATCTTTGGAATATGCAAAAACTTAGGAACTGTCAAATTCCTGAACAATTTGAAGGTTCAATCAAGAGCCCTCTGCAGGATCTAACTATAAATGCCGCCCGGTCACTGGCTTCTGTACGCCCTCGTTGGTATAGCTAACCCAAGACATACAGGTGCAATATTCAATGCTTCGGCCATATCACGTTGAAAGACCAGTTCTCATATGATCGTCGAAGTTAAGCAAAGTCGAGACTGGTCAGTACCTAGATGGGTGACTGCTTTGGAATACCAGATGATGTATGTTCTGATTTGCAGGTGCTGTAGTGGATAACAGCACAAAATTGGAAATCGGAGAGCCGTGTTCCAATTCCAGTCAGTTTCGTTATATTCACTTAGGCGCAAATACCCTTGGGAAAGGGGTATGGATCCGCCTCTTCTACCCCACACCCCCGCCAGCTACGTGTTAATTATTATAACTTGTATCAGTAAAAATCATTGTTATCACTAAAAACGGACAATCTAAAAATAGTTTCTGGCATTAAATAACCTGCAAAAAGTTTGATAAGCAGTTGTTGTGTCGGAAACTTACCACCCCTCTTGAAGATGAACTTGTCTGCGTCTGTGAACAAAGACTTTAAATAGTGGCATGTCAGGGGAGACATGATAGACAGAGAAGTTCTTAGCTGAGCTAGTTATTGACTACTAAGGCGATTCCTATACCTTTTTACCAACCTATTAAAACCCTTTTTATTGTTACGTGTTATTTGGCGTTTGTCTCTACTAACCCCAAATCGACATCATAGGAGCAGTATAAAACAAATCAGTCGACCATTAAGACCTATTTTAAATATGGTGAGGTCAGTGCAGCACAGATTGGCCAAATGGTTGGCTAATTTGTTACAACCGGTTCTTGAAATATATTCGGTTCATTGCATAAATGATTCATTTACTTTTGCAAACTTATGCAAGATTATCCCATTCGCTCTCATATGTTATGTGTACTTTGCTAACAGTAGTCTTTGTTCTATGTCTGTGTTCCGCTAAGGGATACTATAAAAATAGGTGCTGAAGTATTAAATTCACATGTCTCCTCTTCTGATTTTGTTGACTGTCTTCGTTGAGTTCATGTTATTTGCCACCATGTTTCTCCAATTTATATTTGATAATATGATGCATAATGAATCTATTTGGGTTCTGCTATAACCAACATTTTATGAGCAGAATTTGCTTGTTTGTATTGATATTTCTCAGTAGTGATCTGTTTTGATAAGAGGATAATGCTTTTTTGTGTAGTTGATAGTTAGGAGCGATCTAATGTTTTTCATGGACTTTTAAAGAAAGTACATCCAGCGTTAAGGTTTCCACGTGTAAAGGAGAACAATGTAGATTTTCCTGTTTGGAATGTGTTAATTTACGGGTCAGAATCTTTTTTTTTTTACTTCTGTGTACTTTAAATCTATTTTTACCGGATTTTAAACGCATTTGGACTCTTTTAGGCCTAAACAGCAACAACTGAATTTGATCAAAACTTTTGATCACGTGCCCTAATTATTGGTTCCAAAACCAAATTTTATTCTGAAATTGAATTTATTGCGAAGGTTTATACCTGAAAATAGATACCCTCTGGAATCGTGTGCAATCTAGCATTCGTAATCAAATTGCACACTTAAACCCAAATCATATGGTCCTAAAAAAAAGTATCCGGTCTATTTGCGATTACCTTGAAATGCTGATGTCGGCGCAGTACATAAGGAAAACTCAAAAACGAACGGGCAAAATTTGAAGAAAATGTATGCGCAGATAGAAATGGAATCGTCCATCATATAATGAACGAATGCATCAAAATAGTTCAAAGTCGCCTCAGCGGAACTAAGAGCAATGATTAGCGAGGCTGGTTGAGTTTACCTTTACCAATAACTAGAAAGTTCGATCCTCACTGGGCGTCTTATACTAAATTCGACATTAAATAACCCAACACTCCTTCATATATCGTAATAACAACTTAGGCACCTCGGCGTGGTGTAATGGTTAGCAAGTTTGTCTTGCTAGATCAGTTACTACTGAAAAGTGAGTTCGATCCTCACTGGATGCCCCATACTTTCGGCCTTGTGCCACATCTAAGCTACGCTTGGAAAATCTTTTGGTCACCTCGAGGCGGTGTAATGGTTAGCAAGTTTGGCTCGCTAGAACAATTACGACTGAGTAGTGAGTTCGATCCTCACTAGGTGCCCCTTACTTTCGGCCGTGTGCCACATCTAAGCTACGCTTGGAAAATCGCTATATCATAATAACAACTAACCAATTTACTAAGAATAATTGAGAAAAAAATATAAAAATAGACATAACTGGGTAGGAAAGGCAATCAACTAGAAATTATACAAAAGACGCACCAATCGACCTCATCTCTACTGTCAAACAAAGGTTATCGCTCTTCCAGCAGAGTAAATTAAAAGTTTGTGAAAAATAGGGAAATTATCTAGTAGACTAGGAAACCATTTTTTTTAATTATACACCTGGAAGGTGTCAATACGTCCCATTGTATTTGACGCGCTTGACACACTTTCGTAAGGGTTGAGAGAATTGATGTTTCAATTAAATAAGAATATTATTAAAATATTAATAAAAAAAAATATAAAATAGCAACATGAAAAAATACGAAAGAGATAGGGCAAGAAATTTTCAAAATTGAATATGATTTCGAGTCATCAGAAGTGATAACGTGATAATATTTGGGATCGAGATGCCAAAAATAAAAATGTCAATTGGAGAAAATGTGAATGAACGGCTCTGATGTAGATATTGATGAAACAAACAAGAATAGAGACATATAGACTCTCTTGAAGGGTCGAGCCAAAATATGATAAGCTAGAGTAATTAATGTGATTTACGACAACCAACTTATCCTCAGAGATCCCAAGACAATCTCCTAACACAGTTTTGTCGTTCTTTTAATCGAATTGATGATGCCAAAGAGAACACAAGCTTTTCTCTGACGAAACATGTTTTTGATTTTAAATTTTCCATTTTTGTCTCAACATCTTCAATATTGTTTCGGGTACTATTATACATCATGCAAACACTCACACCCGCACACGCACACACACACATATATATATATATATATATATATATATATATATATATATATATATATATATATATATAACAAAAATCCAAAATAACCTCATGTGGATATAGTCAATTTCAAATTCTAAAGTTTGAAATAGACTATATCCCCATGAGGTAGTTTTGGATTTTTTATATTATAATAAATACATTGAACTCTCTATGGATCAGTTTTAATATCTGATATTACTAGGATCCACCTGGATTATATACCAACGGATCTATTACCTGTATTATATATATATATATATACATAATTTGAATATATATATATATATGAAGAAATATAGTCTTAAGATGTGCTATATTTATGGGATAAAGTGCTCATATCAGAGATAGACCGTGTGTAAATATAAAAGTGAACATATGAAGATGCAACGTCAGGCCTGACGTTGCATCTAGCATGAAACAGACTGTCGCTGCATCTATGTTGACTTCTATGTTTACTTTTATATATATATATATATATATATATATATATATATATATATATGCGTGTGTGTGTGTGTGTGCGTTTGCGTGTGTGTTTCGTTTGAAATTTGATTGATATAAGCGAAGAGTGCTCAATATCGGTGATAGAGAGTTTATATATGTATTTAGAGAGTGTAGACATGGGAATCAACACTGCATGATGACTGCCGGTTTCAAACTTCATTAAATTAACTCATAGAGTGAAGTAGAAAAAAAAAATGATTCGTGCCTTTTCTAAAATAATTAGAGTTAAGCGAGTGCAGCAGGCGAGGACACATCTTGAGCTCTTTTTTTGCCAAGGGGTGGGGGGCAACATATTATGGTAGAACTTGAACTCAGCTCGACAATTCCACTTTCTGTGCCAGTAGCTATTATGGTCCCTGCACATCATACCTCTGTATATCAATTTTAAATTCCGCTTGGTTCTAAACTATCTGCATTATAACAATGCATAATAGTAAGCGTTGTACAGTTTGAAATGAGTAAGCTGACTTCTTACAGTAGGAGTCAATTATGTTACTTGACACCCCACCGCCGCAGATTACGGTTCTATGAGTTTACAAAAGGAATTAACAGTGCAAGAGTAACCTGAAATATTCCTAGTTTTTATTGGATAAATTCATTAAATAAAAAGTACTTCCGGGGAGAGTTCGAAAATGACTTTTCGTTTTGCGTGTCGAAGCGTTTGTCCAGTTGAGTTTAACGACAATCTATTTCCGTCTGAATTCGATAGAAATTGTGGTATTACAGCTGAAGAATAATCTCACAAATTGAATTAAAGACTTTCAACAGTTTGCTGTTATCTACAACAACTTGTAAAGGTATCTAAATCTAGAAAATGGTTTACCCATAATTTGACTAAACCCAATCACAAAACGGGAGCAAGCACTTCTCTTCACTCTCATAAAACCCATTGCGTCATATGTTGACAGATTTGTGACTGCTGAAGAAAAATGGATATTTTATCAGAATATATACGTCGCAGACAATGTCTTAGTCGGGATGAAAAGTCTAAAATACAAACCACTCAAACAGCTTCTTTTTTTTCCAGGAAAATTAGTATGAAAAATGATACGTCTGAAAAATGAAGAAACTGAACTAAAACGTTTGAATTCTGTAATTTGTTTATTTCATTCCAACTGGAATGAAAATGCGAACACGGCATATAAAAAGCATCGCAACTCTTGTTTTATTTTCTGAAGCAATCAGGAAATTGGCGTTGTATAGATAGAAGGCTCGTTAGTCTTTTTCGTGTGTCATAGGAAAGTGACGATTACAAAGTCGCTGTTAGCACGTGAACAAGGCTCACTCCGGATGGCGAGCGTATGAGAATCTCTCATTTGAACTCTACCGTTCACATTTATACGGTTCCGCTATCACACATACGTCAGTTTTAATTAAAACTAACTTTCCTGGTGACTTCTTATCAGCTGAAAATGTGACCTGGAACCATTAAATAACAATTCTTATGTTTGATCTTGTAACAATATACTCTACAAATGAGCACCCCGTCGAGGTGTAATGGGATTCTTCGGGATAGCGTTGATAGAAATTTTGTCCGTTTTTTTCTGTTTTGTGGGAGGAATTCTTATACAGAAGTTCACCTAATACAAGGCTCGAGAGTTAACACAAAGTAGAGGGCTACTGTTTAAATAGTTATGATGATGGAGGTGCGTGATATAAATGAAAGCTGAGGTGGTAGGAAAGGAAGATTATGAGGGTAGGTTCGATAGATAACGATTGACCCTTGATTTGAAGAGATTAAAATTAGTGTACAAGGAAGCATCCATGAGGGAGTTTCTTTCCTAAAGGAGCAGTTCTTATGGGGAAAGGTCTGAGGAGAAAACGTTTGACGAATTTTTGATTGACTACTACGAGCAAGCTCACACCGGGAGACCAGGATATCGGAGTTTTTCATTTAAAGTTTCTGCCGTTCTGATATATGCGGTTCCCTTATCATTCACGCGTCAGTTTTAATTAGCCACTCGCTTTCCTGATGGCTTCGCGTCAGTTAAACATGTGGCCTGAAATCATAAAATGACCATTACTATGTTTGATGTTCTGACAACATGCACCTCTCATGAACGTCTCGTCGTGACGTAATAGGTTCTTCTCTGACGCGATCGAGAAAGTGTTGCTATAGAGATAGGACTTCCGTCAGCCATTTTTATTTTTTGTGGGTAGGGGTATACAAAACACGATGCTCTTTGGTATTACCGCAGATCATTACTGCTGTGTAGTGAATTCGATACTCACTGGGTGGTACCTTTCTGTGGCCTTGTGCCAGACTTAGTAAACTTTCTTACTGACTTAAACCTGATTCAGTGACACATTCTGATAAGTGTTCTTGTACGCGCGTGCGCGTGTGTATGAAGTGTCAGTCAGTTATGTGCCATGCGTGATACACGCTTAGGTGATCATGTATCTTTCGATACATGACTGACGAAGCAGATTTTTTCCCCGCAATAGGTTGCCATTTCCTTCTGCAGTAGACCAGGTGCAATCCAAAGCTATAGAATCCGGTTTGTCCTGGGTTGGGGCAAAGAAGAGGAATCATACCTTTCCCAAGGGTATTAGCACGTAAGTAAATGTAATGGATTCGACAGGAATTCGAACTCGGCTCTCCGGTTCCTCAATGCCAGCCGCTATCCATTACTACACATTCTTGGAACCATTGTTCTTGTTATTTCGGGCTTACGGTCACATCACATTGAAACACCAGCTCCTGTACGAACAACGAAGTTAAGCTACATCGTGCTTGGTCAGTATGTAGATAGGTGACCGCTGGGGAATACAAGATGCTATAAGGTTGGATGTGCGGCTGGTGTAATGGAATTGTTAATCCAAGAGCCGAGTTCCAATTCCAGTCGCGTTTGTTATATTTACTTGCGCACAAGGGAAAGGGATACATCCAACTCTTCCCCTCCCCAGCTATGGGTTAATTAGTAAAACTTGTATCACTAAATCATTATTATCTCAAAAAAAAATTCTTACAATCTAAAACTATTTTCTGGCTTTGATTAACTTGCAAAGGGTTGATAAGCCGTAAAAAACGAATTAATCAATATATTCTTGTCTTTTCCTCCTTTATTCCTCATCAGGACAGAGATTTGACAATGCTCAAGAATGACGCATTCCTGTACTCTATAACTTAATAATATATTATATTATATTAGAGTATTATTGACATAGGCTATAGAATGACCCAGATTAGAAAATAGAGAGCAAAGATCTATGTGAATTTGAACACCGGCTCTTGTTCTTTTTTCTTGTCGTTGTTCATTCGTTTGCCCGTTCTGGTTTGTTACAACCGGAGTCAAAGGTCAAAGACTGTTTTCCTCTATAGCTTTTTCGACTGGGTTTTCGATATCTTGATTTTTGGGAACAACTCCAAGCTTCAAGCGAAATTCTGAAAGGAACGAGTGCCAAATTTATAAATAGTAAATATATTTTGTATGCGTTCTTATTTTGTTGTGTATGATGAGACAGAGATCGTGAGAGGATGGGCATGTGTGGAAAGTGGGGAGCTAGGGAGGAAACTGGCAATGTTAAAGGTATCGATCTTTCAGCTAGAAAAATCAAGTCTCTGAAGAATAAAAACTGAAATGAAAAAAAAAATGGAATAATTAGATAGGGACATCAAGGATAGTGATTACAGATATTGATGCGCAGATTTTGAACCGAAGTCTACATTTCTATCGTTTCTAATTGTTGAGAGAAGGAAAGGTAGGAATGAGGTTGTTAGGCTATCATCTCGGTTCAATCTCAGCATTGCCCGTTTTCTTTTCTTTGTTTTTTTTTTCTTTTTCTTTTTACTTTTTATGGTGGGGTGAGAATGGGTAGGTACCTAGGAGGAAAGAAGGCTGCAAAGTGCGTATAACACTATTTCTGTCTGCCCGGTCAATTATAGTTTTTATACGATGGCATTTTGACCCGTGGCAAATATTTGTCAGTTATACAAGGGAAATAATTATAATTAGAACGATAGGTGTATTGCCTTGTATGGGTCCGTTAAATATATATATATATATATATGTGTGTGTGTGTGTGTGTGTGTGTGTGTGTGTGTGTGTGTGGATGTATCTTGTATATACATATGTATGTTTATATATATATATATATATGTGTGTGTTTGCGTGTATATATATATATATATATATATATATATATATATATATATACGCATTTACACGGAGTAGCACACCACCTAAGCCTAAAAAAGATTACACAAAACAAACACATTTATATCAACACACACACACATATATATTTTGACACATGTACAAACGCGTGCACATACAAACACACACACAAACACACACACACACATATATATATATATATATATATATATATATATATATATATATATATATATATATATATATATATATATATATATATATATATATATTTCTAGGTATCTAGGTGTGCCATGTTTCATCCTCCAGAAGGGCATCATTGGATTAAGTAATGCTTTTATTAATTGAATTATATATTAGGAGGCACGGATTGAAGAAATCGGAGAACCGAGTTCGAATTCCAGTAGAATCCATTACATTCACTTACGTGCTAATACCCTTAGGAAAGGTACGAATCCTCTTCTTCGCCCAGATATGGGTAAATAGCAGGACAGAATGTGTTCTATAGCCTTGGATGACAACTGGTCTACCGCAGAAAATAATGGCAACCTTTTGCGGGAAAACCTGCCTCGTCAGTCATGTATCACAAGATACATGATCGCTTAAGCGCGTATCACGCATGGCACATGACTGACATATATAATTGTATGGAAGGTGAAGGGGAGATATAAAAACGCAAACCTTGGTTATAATTATGGAAGGAAGCGATGAAGATTTTATAACTCTGGAACTTTAATTTTTTTTCTCTCCTGAATCTATTTCACGTATTTATAAGTCTACTATTCGTCCATGCTTTGAATATTTCGGCCACATATTGTCCGGTGCTTCACCTGTATATTTGGAGATCCTTGGTAAAATCTAAAGAAGAATCAGCAATGTTATTGGTCTTAACTTGGCATCTCGGCTTCAGTCATTTTACCACCGCCGTAATCTAGTTTCCCTGTGCCTTTTCTATAAATACTTTCATGGTAAATGTTTGGATTAACTTTTCGTTATAGTACCTGGACTTCATGAATTTCAGCGCATTACTAGATTGGCGGAAAGGACACGTCAATCCACAGTTGAATTAGCTAGATATAACCGTAAGTTCTATGCTAACAGTTTCGTTTCTCGCACTTCTTGCTCGTGGAACTCTTTCCGGATCCATGCTTTCCAGCCAAATTGTATCTTCAAAAATTGAATGCAATGTCAATCGTTATCTACTGTCTTCTTGGTTATTCTATTTTTCTCTCTCAGTGACCCCTTGTGTCTTTACGACTGTGCATGGAGTGATATGATTATATACACACACACATATATATATATAGCTGGATTGATGTGAGTTTGTGACTCTGGGTTTTACGCTATTTGCGATCGTCAGTTTCTCACATCAATTCAACTAAATATGTTAGCTCTATCACTGATATTGAGCGCTTTCCAATAAGTACCGTGCATATATATATATAAATAATATATATAAAATGCATATATATATATATATATATATATATATATATATATATATATATATACGCATATATATATATATATATATATATATATATATATATAAAAAGAGAGAGATAGAGAGAGGAGGGTACGATGGGTAAATTGTCAACTGCAAATTAATTTTGCGCATGCGTGTTTTTTGTTTTATGATTTTCGATTGCACAGTATAGAAGGGTCTGTTGGGCACAGACTGTGAGAAAAAGAGCGCCATGAAGCAATTCACTCCACCAAAAATTTGGAAACGGCATGCTGTCTTGCTTGGCA